TTATTTATTTATCATTATATTATTAAAATATTTAACATTTACACATTAAGTAGGGCAAGAGAGTGAGAGACAGAACGAGAGACTGTTGAGAGAATAATTAGAGACAGAGATACCGTTTCAGCTTTACCTGCATAATTTACAATATATAGAACTTGCCACGAACTCTCTCAAACTGCGCCCAACTCTCTCTATAGAACACGTGCAACAAACGAACAGCTCTATGCGATCTATGGCCATAACTATATATTTCTTACAGGACTTACATAGAACTCTTTCAGCTGAACGGTTTAGTATCTAATGGATGCTTTATCTTGTATATATGTATATATATATATATTTTGTTTTCTTATAAATATATCTGTTTTTCGCTTTCTATAGCTGTGATTACACTGTTGATATTTCGGGATTATAATGCTTGCGTATTTCTTGTATCTCCTCCTCGAATCGGCTGGCTTAAGAACTATAAAGCTATTTTCAGTTTAAAGTATAGTTTTACTCGTAGAGATTTGTCTTCATAACACTTATAGATGTATATTGCCAATAGTTTAATCAATGTACAGGAAATTTCACAAATAATATATTTAGTATTTTAGTATATTTACTAAGGTATTTTTTCATTACTGGTTCTGGATGCGCTTTATTTAGTTTTTATATTCCTTTGGTTAGCTTTTTATTTACTTAAGATATTTTTATTATGGTTTGCTGTCGATATTACATACATGTATGCATCTATTTATATATATTTTGTATTTATTTGGTATTCTTGTATATAGTGAGTATTTATTTGGTACTTCATTTGGTATTTAATTGGTACTTTATTTGGTTATCTTGTGAGTTACTTGATTACAAGTTTCGTCTTTGGTGCATTTGAGTTAGCTAACATTTGGTTTTCTGGTCAGTAGCCCTGTATAGAAGTTGGGTGCAAAGCCATTCCATAGATTCCATGTATATAGCATTCAGCATTCAGTGTATTCAGCATATTCAGCATTAGGTAACCATCGACTGTGCTACAGTTGCTAACGTACATTTGGTGCCTTGTGGTATACTTAAGTATTAACAAGTTAAGTTTCGCTTAATTAGTGTCCAATGTGTGGATTAGAATATTTGCCTTACTCGACGGACTCATAGACATGTTTATACAGTTCTTTTTGCATATGAGCTCTTGTTCTGCATTTTCAATGAAGTTCTTGTTAAGCATACTTATACAGAGTTAGAGTTACATATATGTATGTTTGAGTAGAGCCTACATAAATTACACCTATAGTACAAAGCACAAAAAGTTCAGCCTAAGAAACCATCACAAAGTAGAAAAATAAATATAAACTCACGTCTCGAGCTTATTCACAAAATACACTCACAAAAGCCTCGACGCATAAATACATGTATATATATTTAACTCATTTATAATATCTTTCCTTTCTTGTTTTTGTTTTGGTTTTTGTACAGTTTGAAATACTCGTTCACACACACAAAACACACACACACACACACACTCCTCTCTACTTACTAATTACAACAGACGAGTAGTTACAATAAGGGCTCCCTTAATCTGTCGATTGCTGAAATGAGAAAAGAGCATATATGTATATATGAAATAGATATAGTCTATATATAATAACTGTATATAATTGAAGCCTTGTGCAAACGAAAAGTTCATAAAGTTTTTAGCTTGGCCATAAATGCGGTTAAATTAAAAATCAAAACCCAAAACGACATCACCTTTTATTTGCGCTCTATTGGGTTTTGTTTGTTTTGGCTTTGGTTTTTATTCTTTGTTATACCCTCTAGAATGGGTAAGTGGGTTAAGGGGTATCAGGGTTTTGCTGGAGTTTATGCAACAGGTCCAGAGAATTAGTAGAAAAAAACAATGTAAATTATTTTATTTATCATATAATATAGTTTAATATAGCTTA